TCCCACAACTGTAAAACAAAGAAATATTATTGAATGCCATAATCATTTTTTGTAATGTTTCCACTTTCCACTGGAACCTGATGTTTTAACACTCTATGCTCGTAATTATCATGCCTTTATCAATACTAAAATGTACGAAAGAATTCCATGTGTATTACATACATTTGTATTACATTTTGATATCTTTTTCCGTTGTTGCTAAAATTGCTAATATAAGTTCGCTATTTCTCCGTGAATGTTATATTCCGCTTTTCTGTAATCGGTTAGTATTGTATGATTAAATTTACAGAGACTATTAGGTGAAATATAAAGGATAGAAGGAAGAAAGGATAACAATATGAAGAAATTTGCAATGACATAACACGTGTGAACCCTTTTAAACGATCATTCCCTATTCAGTCCCGACACTCATGATTAAAAGAAAATATTGTCAGATGTTGGATAACGAAATAATATGTTTTACTTTGAAGTATCAGTGGTCATTTGTTTTCATCAGACACATACAATAACGTTAAGTGACACACAGGGCTTTATATCAAAGTCCAAAACGATTTAAGATAAGTTGGAAAACAACTGATGCATATACACATTCCTGTCCCTTGAAACGATACGACAGATAAACGATACAAAAAGGACACATATTCGTTAATATATGAAATTTCCGATTCATTATATACCCAAATAACAATTGGAAGCCATATTCAACAAACATTGCTATGTAAGTTATGTAACAACGCAAAACTTAACGTAAGAGTTAAACGTCAATCCTATTTGGCTGTTTATGCTCTCCTGTAGTATTGGATGGTTATTATAACAGAACATATTATAACATTACATCTCAGCAGGAACTGAAAAGAAGGAAAATTCAGAATGAAAAAGGGGCGCATGCAGGGAAAGACTTTTACTCACTTTATTGAATTACAAATTCTTGTATCTGTATAATATGACATTGAGATGAAACATTGTCAGTCGACACTGGATGAATTATCAGTACTACAGATTGTAGAAATACACGCGTTGGCGGCGCAATCGGCATCTTGATTACCTGGCATTCCCACATCTCCGGGAACCCAGTTTAAGTAAAAGCGACATTTTGAGGTAATACTATATAAAAGTGTTAATATTTTACTAATTGAGATATTCTTCATTTTTTTGCGAATGCTCTGCAGAACACCATAGGATCACAGCCCCAGTTGGACGCATTTTACCTTTTCACTACAGGAAGTTGTCACACAGTTGTCTACTGCTTTGCATAATAATACGGTGTGATGCACTGATAGCTTTGATCCCTCTACTTGGGGACAACAAAGCGACCAAAACACCTGCCGCACCCATTCTCATATTTGATGAACTCTTTCAAATGTAATTGAATCGTAAGGTAAACGCGTCTCGTTGCGTCCCGTCCCATCCTTGAGGTGGGGCATTTATGTCTTACAGACATTTTCTAGTTATTTCTAGATTTATAATACACTATGAAGAGGACACAAAATGCTTTGACACTCTTGTATTAAATCGTAAAATACTAAAAGCGATCGGTCTCGTCTTTTAAATGACAACTGCCCTAGAAATTATCACTCAAGCTACCCATTCTGCCTCTTGTGTCAGTATCAACCCCCAGTACAAATCGAAAGCAACGTAGATCCTTGTAGTTCCGTCTAATATGAAATGCAGTTAGTTAGTAAAAGGATGGCTGCCGAAGACTCGCAGCTGAGCATGCGCACCGCGTTTAGACAGTATTCTTCCGCGATGACGCGTCAGCAGATATGGCTTTGTGTTTTATTTCTAAATAATTTGGCTATATTGAACTATCAACGTATACCATTATGTTGTATGATGGTCCTTCAATGACGGACAATATTTTTTGAAATGTCAAAACGTAGACTTGCACAAGCTCCAGAACCTTGGACAAACTATCAGAATGGAATTCGCAAGTTTGAATTAATATAAGGTTTGAATCTGGCTTAGGTCGATTTCATGGTTCATTCGCAGTTCATTAAAATTGTTTCAAGAGAAACTCAATTCATCACCCAATGAAATCGAACAAAGCGTGATTCAATCCGTCATTTTGTTAAACATTGATGTTAAAGATCAATGTTTAGACATTGATGATGACGCATACCATTAACGATTTATTTGGTGTTTAAACTAATTGTGACCATGAAACTCGTACTCTTAAAAACTGTACCTGAAATGCCACTACTACATATCAGCTCTTTAAAAAATACAGCAAATTACTTTGTTTTCGTATTTCGTGATATTTAAACATAAAACTTACGTGAATCACCGGTGATCGCAGGCAATGCTGCAGGTTTAAAAGCGTCTTTGTAAAACAATACCAATCCGGCTGGTGACTAATCTTGCTGTGTCAAGTGAGAGATAATATGGCTAGGAGACCGAACTACCAAATGAACACTGGACTATTAGTTTTTTAATTTTTTAATTCTGAAGTGCATATTTTGGTTGCGATGCGCCAGACATCCATTCACAGCTTACCAGATATTGTCATGTTGGTTAAAGGAACACACTCCAGACGAAGCGTATTTGTAATACAAGTCATCAATAGATTGACCAACTGTCTCGAGTCTCAGGTGACGAATTTTATTATTTTATTCTAATTTGATCACTCTCCTGAAATATAATTGCTAATTGTAAATCATTTATTGAACCTTTTTTAAAAGTCCTATACGTTTGAAAAGAAAAAGTATGTTAAAAGTAAACAAATGACGTGTAGACCATTTGATGAAGTGGCTTAGTTGTATTTGACATTGAGATATATGGTGGATGTCGAGAATAAAGCTTACCCTCCCGGGATACATTTGTTCTTCTTGTTTTTCTTTTATTTCCTCTTATTCTTTCCTTCGTTCATATTGTCCAACATTCGTCAATTTATAGTTTGGGTTAAATATTTGATCACAATTTGGTTTACTTTAAGTATCCAAGACTATACTTCAATACCAAGTTGAGTTATTGATGATTTCAAAATTTGCAGTATCGTGTAGCACATATAGTATACGATTTTATTTGATCCATTTGTCTAAAAAGTCAGAGCAGTGATAATAAAGCTTTGACCGACATACGTGTCCGTTAGAAAAAAATAACTAAATATTAGATAGATAAGTCAGGTCCCATCTTGTCATAGCGCTGGCCTACTTCAGAAGACACTCAGAGATAACCCCTGTTTTGACTATGAACTCTTACATCTGTACATTGTGACACAACAATGTTACTGGCTTACACGCCATATAATACTTGACATTTGATTCCTTTGCGGATTGTTGCCTTAAAAAAGCTTAACATCCGCCATATTGAAGGACGAATGCAGTATATTACTTATGTTCAATACAGTATTACTCTTGTTACTACTTAAGTAAACTGTGTAAAATAGTGTTAATGAATTGCATGTCACTTTCAAGGTCATGTTTGAAATCTAAATTATACTGATATATTAACTGTTTCTGTATAGGTTAAGCAATCTTCTGTTGACATATACATTATGTGTATAATCTTTTAAATTGTAATGTATTACTTTTTCTTATTAAAAAAATGACACGAATTGATACTTCTAAGAACAGCGCGAAATATTGTAAATCTTTTACTTATTACCGTAAATAAATATGTTTGACATTTAAATAATATATTGTTATCATATGTTTACAGCTAAGCTTAGACATTTTCAGTTATGTTATGCTAATTTGTTTACTTATAAATTAAACATAAAACTATTTTATTCACTTTTGTCCATGTTTTCAAAACACAAGGTATTTTTATATTGACATGGGGCGACATTTTACACGATGCATTCATGACTGGCAAAAGAATGCTTTTCATGTGCGAGGGGAAGTAACCCTTCAGTTGATACTAATAATAATTGAGTATTTTGTGTGTGCTAATTAACGAATAGTGTAATAAAACCTACCAATTCCCTACAGAACCGCAAATAACCTCACATTGTCCTTTTATTGATTTTTCGAAAGCGTTAAATCACATAAAAGAGATCATGTTGACTATTGCTTTCTAAACAATCCGTATCAATAGTAGTAATTAATGTAATAGGAGTCATGTATAATTCTGTTAAATCACTGACAAGGTTAAGAATGGAATAGAGGTGTTTTTGTATTACTATGTTTGACAAGGTAAAACAAACCCCTTTAATTACTTTGTATGAAATGCTTTGGAGACTGAATCGATGTTGAAGCGTTTGGATGGTAAAATGATTGATTTTTAGAAACGAATAGTATATTTTATTCGCAGAAGATATTCATTTTTAATCTTAATATAAAACTACCTCATGTGTTAGGATAATTGTCACCTATGGAAATTTAAATTGAATTAATATGATCATGGTCATGTATGAAAAACATATCGGGGGAAAACATATACATACAAGGAAAGAAAAATATAAACTAAAAAAACAAACGATGTGGATTGGAAACATGAGCTACTTAAGGAAGTACAGTAGTCATACACACTACTTGATGTCAACATATTGTTACATCAGCAATCTTTGAAATATCAAAAACACAGCAACACTACACTATGCATGATTTTTATTCTTTTCATGTGCATGGTGCATCCTGTTCATAGATACATTATTTTTTACATCTTTGTTATCTTTTATTCGATTTTGTATTTCTTGAAATCGGAGAAATCAAACGTTACGTTCTTAATGCGACACTCCTTGCAAGACTATATCCTTGAATAATTAAGTAAGCAAGAACTATTGCTGGCAGTAATGTGTAACGCAACACTCTATGTTTATCCCAATCTAAACTCTAACAAACACTATATGTATGCAGGAACTACAAAAACAAACTAGCAAAGCTTAATGTACGTTTCAAATATTTTGTATCAATTAACATTTCACATAAAATCTGACATATTGAAAATCAATTAAAGAAAAACACGTGCTTATTGATAGCTTGCAAGTTGTATAATTACAACATTTCGTCGTTTGAAGCACGATTTTTCAAAATTGACTTTATTAAGTCATTCGTTTTATAATGTCAGCATGCCAAGCCCCTGGAACAGTAAATGTTAGCGTCAGTGACGGACTTATCGGAAGTGTTTTGGTGGAATGCGAATACAAAGGAAACAACACAGTGAGAACCATACAGAATAGTGGACCCACCGACAGTATCAGTGTTCCTAACTGCACTATAGTAAGAATTGTTACCAGTTCATCTTATTGCTCGAGTTTCTGCCAAAAGCAGAAAAAATGTTATAACAATGTATCTATTATATTATCTATTCAACAAATGCCAAAAAAAAGTGTTTAACAACTTGATCATTTATCTTCTTTCTGTAAGAGTTTTAAATCATTAAAACGTTTGTCAGATATGAAATATTTAAAACTTTCCAGAAACAAGCACCGTTTTGTAAAAATGAAGTATTCACAAAACACTTGCAGTGGTAAACGAAAAGGACTAGGAGCGGAAAGGGTCAATTCTGGCCTCATCGGGGACTTAGAATATTTCTGAAATTTTAAATTCATTGTACAACTGGTTTAGGAGATATGGCATTACAAAGAGAGACATAAACCCGCATATTCAAAATAAAATGCATGAATACCGTCTGTTGTCTGATATTTGGTTGCACATTGGCCGTTTTGAAGGAAATTAACTAAACACTCTTAAACTTTTGAAAGGCTTTGTAAGTAGCAAACAAATAAATATTTGTCATGCTCAAAAGTTTTGTTTGTCACAATGCGGAGGCTTTCTTTATGTATGTTAACTGTCCAAAAACACAACATTTCTGCTATTTCTGCATAGCAACGCAGTTTCGTTGCTATGGTAGGGCATTTACGCATGCGCATTGGAAAAATCCACATCAAGAAAGATAGACCCAACAGAAATCGGTTAAAATTGAAATTGACTTTTTATGAGGCACACAAATATTTGTTGTCATTCTGTATATAAATGTATGTAAGCCCATGTAAAAATGTTTTTTCGAAGGGCCTAGTGAGCTTATGCCGTTGTGCGGCGTCCGTTCGTCCGGCCGTCCGTCGTCCGTTCGTCCGGCGTTAACTTATTACTTTAAACAACTTCTTCTAAAAATCCAGAAGGCCTAGGATGATGATAGTTTGCCTATAACATGCTACAATGTAAGATGAATGGCTACTAAGTTTGTTCAAAACACTGACTTTGACTTATATTCAAGGTCACAAGGGTGGGTCAATTATTTAAAACAAATCAAATAGTTTTTCATTCAAGGTCACAGGAGTGAAACATTTATAATGTATTTAAATAACTTTATCTGAATAACAATTTAGCCCAGAATGTTGATATTTAGGCAGTAGCATGCCTGGATAAAGGGCTTATACCTTTGTTCAAATATATGACCTTGATTTTGTTCAAGGGTCACAGTGGTCAATTTGTTTTTAAACATTTAAATGAATTCTTCTGAATAACCAAAATCCCAGGTTAATGATATATGGCCAGTAGCTTCCTTGGACGATTGACTATTAAATGTGTTCAAATAAATGACCTTGCCTTTTTTCAAGGTCACAGGAGTCAAATGTGTTCAAATCTTTTAAAAGGATTTGTTGAATGACTTATAGTCACAAATACTGATATTTTGCCTGTAGCTATATTTTAGTTAACTTTCAATGATACAAGTATGAACTTAATACCAGTTGAGCGATGCAGGCTCTTTGGGCCTCTTGTGCTGTATATTCAGAGTAACATGTATTGTTTTCCTTATCATGACACAGACAAAATAAGCCATTTGCATCTAATCATTCTGTATGTTAATAAGTATCATTTATCATATTGCAATATGGAATCTTTATCCTATTCGAAAATAGATTTGCAAACTTTCCCTTTTCTTGTACCTTATAGTGAACTATTGATAATTTGTGTATGTATTGTTTTACAGAACAAACCTGTGACAATTGTTCTTTTCAATGACACACATAATGCGTCACTTGGAGCTGTTATAAAGAAGGACGAATCGCATGTAATTAAAGAGATCATCGTCATTTGTAACGGATCACACATGACAGTCAAAGAAAGTTTCAACAAGTATGTGTCCATTGATTTCAGTGTTTACTTGCGTAATATCACTGCTCGAATACTACATAAGGTACGTCAACAATATACCATAAAACTATTAATACAGCAAAACCATGCATTTACACATGATTGTAAGAGTGGTTTATTGCCATGTATTATACAATACTAGGAAGGTGTTTATTAATTTTCGTACACATCAGCCATTGCCATTAAATTACAATTTTGTGAAATGTAAATTTATTTAGTCTACATTAAAGGGTTCAAGTAAAGTGCAAAACGAAAACAAAAACGAAACGAAAAGAACTAAATAAAATCACGCGATCGGAACGCAAAGGAAAACCCCTGCAAGTAAGGGAAAATAATTTGCCTTCTGCATTACACTGGATATTATCGTAAGATACATCTAATATGAGGGCCTCTGCTGAATCAGATCTTTTGTCTGTGTCTTCTGTTTACGGGACAACTAAGTAACCGAAATTGAACTGAAGCCACTTTGAATTCGTAATATATTCTCTCATGTTCTTATATATTTTCATTTGATTTGTTTACTGATTTACATTGTTTTTGTCGATGTCTCCCTATTCCCCACCTTCATTTGACCTTAGTTCTCCCGTGATCGTTAATCTAACACTAACAAACGAAATTAAGTTATCTGTTTTGAAGGTTTCATAAACAGAAAGTAAATAGAATGTATCATTGGATTATTTAAACATTAAATTCCGTCCTGTTTATAGTTGCAATCTTTATTATTAATCAGAACTGCAGGTTGACAGATCGTCATTTCATAAAAATCATCTTATTCAATGTACCAGCTGAATATTAATTTCACGTGTTAGTGTAAAATTAACGGACGTATAATAACCATTTTAGAGGAAAAGGTTGTTTCAGATGAAACAGCAAATTGAATTGTCGGAATAACTGTTTATCGGTTTTTACGATGGCGGCTTCCTGCTGAAATAACTGTTATAACTGCATCTGTCCAACCAAAATTAAAGCACAATATAGAAGAATGACCAGAAAGTAAGGGGATGCTTTTCTTTTCGCTATAATATGGAAGGAAAAAATCTCATTCTTAAAATAATTGGCAATAATCGGAATAGAAGTTGAAAGATTATCATGTATTTCAATGATAAGTTAACTAATATACAATGATCTAGGGACTGATTACAACGTTCTTTCACTTATTCAATTGCTACTAAATTATTATAAATGTTCTTTTGATAATGTACAAAAGCATTATGCCAAACAGACGAATGCAGGCGTAAACTTTGTTAGACATTTTAGATCACTTGGGACATGGTAATGAAACCTGGGAGGTCACCTGAAAGAACAACTCTTACAAAAAAAACTTCCTTTTAAATTATTGTTAAAAACTAGTTGGTAATTTATCATTTCTGCTTCAATGAAACAAGATGGTTTCAATTTCAAACGCTTCACTTTTCGTATAAAAAAAGGAAAGAAAAAAAACCCAGATCGCAATACCATAAAGGCTTAGATTCCACGAAGTCAGACCGAAAAAATTCTGGAAGGAAAATGCATGATTAACGGTCACATGAGCTTGTTTTGTGTAGCTTGAATAGCAAGCCTAGAAGTTAACATATGCTATGCATGTTCACGTGCAGTTCCTTTTGCACAGATTCGGCGAAGCCAGAACGAAACAAAATCTGAAGAGAAAAATGCATGACTAATGGTCACATGAACTCGTTATTTGTAGCTTGTGAATCGAATATAAAATGCATGTCTGTTAGTTTTCCGTTTTGTTTATTCACGTGCAGTTTCCTTTACTATTTCATGTATTTATTATTATTCTTTCTTTTTTACCTCATTCCGTTTCGATTCGTACCGTCTTCGCTTTCCCTTTTAATGTTACGTGTTCCCGCTTTTAGCACGTTATTTACAGCTTCTAGCTTCTAGTGGTTCATGATTTGTGTGCTAGCGATCAAACAAAACTTCCTGGTCTTGAAGAAAGCCAACGCAAGTCATATATGACTGTTTTCAAAGAAAGGAAAGATTTCCAGTAAACAGAAATTTCTCTTTTCTACCACAAGTGAAATAGTCATCTTGCAAACAATGTCTTACGGGTGTTTTACAGGGAGACATATCAACGTTTCTTTTCATATTTATCTATATAAAGAAACGGAGTACTCTGATAATGACCATGTTTTTTCTCTATCTTCTAGTTCCGTTCTTGCCCCAACGGTGCTTACAAACATTCCGCTGCACAATACATTGACCATGAAAGTGACAGACGAACAGAGTAACAACCTGGCCACTGCTGTTGATATAGCACACAATTATAGCTTAGAAATCACCGGCCCAGGTAAGATTGTATTGTACAAATAAAACACACTGAATACAATAATGTTATAAAAAATAATGTTGTTCTGATACTATGTTTATGAATGATAAAAGACGAATAGAGTTTGATTTGTTTGAAAATAAAGTGAGTTAAATGCATTAGTCACATTTTCTAATTTAGATTTGTCGGTGCATCTTTTATCAGTTATGGTCAGCAACAGCAAGGTTATCTACATTTTAACGCTTTGTTTATACATATTTCAGATATATAATTGACATACATGTTAAGTTCAAACGCCGAAATGAATTTATATAAACAGAATAAAGATTCTTCCCACATTGAACAGATATTTCGTTAATAGTGATATGCTATTGAAACAATTTTGTAAATATTCTGTTACTGTTTCAAATCAAATGTTTTAATTTCAAGTAACATCTACTATCTCCAGCATTATATTTAATGGAACAAAAACAACATGGTATATGTTGGTTATATTTTTAAGAATGGTTACAATTGTTGTGTATAAGACTTTTACAAAACTGTATGAATCAGCTTTTATAACCAATTTGCCAAAACTTTCATGAACTATAGGCAAACTTTATTTAGGAACTGGAGTTCGAAGGAACGATTTCCCAATATTGGATATTGAAATCTGGTGACACATTAATATCGTAATATTACAACCGATAATTTGCAGTTCAATATAATCGAATGTGATTTCACACCATGGGACTCTACTATCTCATTGTAAATGTTCGGGAGCATGTGTCAGCAACCAAGCCATAAGAAGCACACGCCGTATACGAGTAAGAGATAGACTGACGTCAGGACGACGTGCCCGCAGACCAGCCTCTACATATGAATTCTTAACATTTTTGGATAAATAAGACGATTATGAGTACCTACCAATCGTATCACTGATGGTTTCAGTTGCAGCTTGATGACGAATACGCAAATGCTCAAGATGAAGGATCCTGTTTTATTACATTTTGCCAGTGAAATATCGGATTCTACCAACTTGATAAAACTGATATCTTTCACACTGTGACAAATATCAAAAGTGATATTTTCACAGTGTGAAGATATCACTTTTTGGTATCGACCAATCATAACGGTATATTCTAATCGCTGCATTCAAAATATTATCCACACTCGTGACATATATGTGTTATTACTGAAACCGTCATTAAATATCCTCTATTTGACGCCAGGATGCACACTTGGACGTCCAAATCGAGGTCGGTCGGCAACTCGCCTGGTGTCCCTCAAACGTCTGACAAGACGCTCTGTGGTGGAATCCTTAACCCCAAAATGACTTGACCCCTCTGACTGTATGTGGTACCATTATTAAAAGACAAATGTAATTGAATTGAAATAGCGGAAGACGAAATGTATCTGCCAAGAATACCAAGTGGTGTTACGAGATATATTTCATATTGTTCTGCGCGTTAGTTTCGCTCTTGTACTTGTTTACCATGAGGCGCGGCTAACTATACTGTTGAATGATTGTAGTGAACACTGACCAGGATAGTTGTCTTACCGAAATTAATCATTTTTTCATTAATTCCTTTGGCGATAAAATGCACCTTTTCTAACCCTTCGTTTCTTTTCCTATAGTACATAATTGTAGAATATATATCAGGAGAAACAATGTTGGATTGATTACTAACAGCGGCTGCTTCGGCCACCAGCTATCATTTTTCAAATTTTTGACCAAAAGTGCAAAATATTACATACGTGCGTGTCAGTGTATTTTGTTAAAATACATGGTTATATTCCTATCATTTAATGTTAATAAACTGGTTAGCTTGCTTGTATACCATTATCAAATGTATGGTTTATTCCATCATCACCACAGTATTGTGACATTTCGTTGTGCAATTTAATTTAAAAAGAGAGTAAACACACAATGACGAAATCAGAACAAAAAATCGAAACGAATTAAGAAAGATCGCAAAATGCACCGACTCAAGCAAACAATACAATCACATCCAAAGTAAACTTCTTGCAATTCTAGTCTTAATAGTCCCGATAGATAAATCAAATCTATCATAAACATAGTATATTATCATTTAAACACATTATACTAATGAAAATTGCAATATCCAATTACAGACAATTTGTTTCTTCTCGTTGAATCGTGTGATGCTGCCTCAGATTCGGATTTCAAGAATGCTATAGTACCTTTATACGTCAACAGGTGAGCACCTTAACTACAAACAGCAGTTAACTCTACCTTTTGCGGTTTATGTTGACAGTGGCGATTTTCTGTAACAAAATAAATGCTAAATGTGAAGTTTTTACATATTTGAGAACATTCATATGCGAGTAGGTACTTTCTTAATTATCTTGTTGCATATGTATTCATTACCGCTAGTATACTGCATTGTGACACAACTATCGTTTTATGTTAGTATCTGCTATAACATACTGTATTTGTAGCAATATATTTTTTTCATAGCGGTTGCTTTTCTTTACGATTTCAAATATTTGTAAGATTGAAAGAACAACTATAAAAATGCTTTGAACGGGTTTTTTTTCTCAAATAAAAAAAGATAAAGTGTTCCGTACAATGACGTACAGAAATACCTTAGATGTTCCATGAGCAGCCAGATCCTTTTCAGTTATGCTCGTTTTATTAAGTGATGCATGGTTTTATTGTTGGGGCGCTTTCATGTGATACGCCTTAAAGACAACTCCAACATGCATGTACAGGTGCAGTATCCGTCATTAATGAATTTTTTTTTATAGAGACAGTCTCATATACGTTTTTAAGTTTGTACTCATTTTCTTTCAGGAAACCAAACGATGATTATGGTGTTTTAGGAACATTTTCAAATAATATGACTAAAACTGCAGAAGCTACTATGGTCGGTTTCCGATTGGTTGATTCTCCTGTTGTGTACCTACGTTGTGTTGTCGATGTTTGTAATGAAGCCGGTTGTCCATCTCTGACTACCTCTACGACCACGACCACTACCACGACCACTACCACGACGTCTTTGCGGACACCATCCGCACTCACGTCCGCGCCAATACCGGTATGACCGTTACAGAAATATTAAGAGCGTTCTATACTGTATAATGCAAATAACACATCATGCTGTTCTCCAGTTAACTGATGAATAAAAGGATAAATTGATGCAATGTCCTTTCTGTATTCTATTTTATTTTGCATTTTCTAATTTTCTTATATCTTCTGTCACTATGATATTAATATCTGTCAGTTTAAATTCCAGTTTCTTCATGTCTTGCTTATGTTTGGCTGCAGATTTGGCAATATGTATATGCTTTTGAGGATTTATTTTCCTATCTATCTATTGACTGATTACTGAATAAATTGATTATTTGTTGTCTCATTAATTGGTTCATTGCTTAATTGATCGTCAGTATTGGTAAAAGTGCATCAACACAGGTAAACGATAGCAAACTGTAAGAAGAATGGAAATGGAGTAAGGATCAAAATGAAAGCACAGAAATTATCAGATATCCAACATTTGCCACTTTACGGCATTCAGCTAGGTTTATATTACAACTTTATTTACAAGTAAAACTTGCTTGTTTTTTTCTTAAATAAAATTAAAAAAAGGAAGCCTAATTTATACATTAGAATATGATTTTAATAAATTTGCCGAAATTTTAATTAAAGATTTATTCTTCAATTTATTATCTAATCTGTCCAGTTATCTATTTTTCAAGATTGCGTTATGAATTATCTAACAAGCCTGTTGGATAATTGCTAATGTTGCAAATGAAAAATACATCAGGTTATATTTCGCAAGAAAAGATTTCTTTGGAAAAAGGACATGTCATGAATATATTTGACTAGATCAAGCGGAAGAAAGAGTTGTGCTATATTATTGTTAAGACACACGAATTTTAAATTGTTACAGAATATCAATATATAAATAGAAAATGACATGTTTAGTTTCTTTTAAATTTTAAATACACATCATATAATATCCAAAATGTTTTAGATATTTGCATTTTTTTTTTCGTGGTAAATGTGTAATGTTCAATATTTCCTTATATCAAACTAGTATTGTAATAAAACATTAAATTATATATATAAACATATCCGGTTCATTGTCATTGTAAGGACAAATATACACGCATAATTGGAATATAAATATTCTGCAGCAATCCATTGCAAGTTCGTAGTTGCATAGCTGTTTGTATTACAGAGTTGTTTGCAGAATTTCATTCAATACGTTGTTATGTATAGCCTGAAGCTCCAGTCGGTAGAAAACGTCGAAGACGGAGGGATGAAGACACAACTAATCGTAGGGTGACTCTGTCAACCTCATTCAGAGTAAAATCGTTATTTACAACAAGTGGTGTTAATGGTAAGCACAAATATTTATTCCAAGAGGCACCTTAGTTTCTATTTTAAATGGTATAAATGCAAATATTTAAGAACTCCTTATTTAAGAGGGACTCTGGTAGGCTACAGTGAATAGTTTAAGTACAAGTTCTTTGAATTATTACAGTATTTATACAAAAACGTTCCTGGGTAATCTTTAAAGAAGATAAAGATTGTGGGAGAGGAGGTTAAATCTCCGAGAAAACGTTAACAATTAAAACGTCCAGTTGTCGCATATATACTATAAAACAATGTCAGATTTATCAAATAAAACAATACCATTTTGACAAATACATTATGATGTCTTTTTGCCGTAAACATAAATTAAAAAACGGAAACACACACCAAAAACATAATATCAAACTAGTTAAACATCACAATTTAGTATATAACATGATAAAACCGAGGTAATTTATTGACCTCCTCGTAAGTATTATTTCAACTTCTGAAAGGGTCTATCCTTTTATCACCATACCTCTTTTCAGCGATAACTGTTTATTATTAAAAAAAACGGTTGATCTACCCATTATTTTAGAGCTAAATTTTGGAAAATCGTTTTCCCCTTTTTATTTTTATATTGATCACGACTCCAAGAAACATTAGTTTCTGTATGTCCTTACGCTTTTTTTTCTTTTTGGTAATCGGTCGCCCGTTATAATGACATAATCCTTGTCCTAAATGACAAAAAGTTATTGATTTGCCCTTAAACCAAACAATCAAAATATAAAGGTATATACAAAGCAAGAAAATATAGTTATTTTAAGTTATTTATATTTTCTTTGAAAATTATAATATTGTCCTCGGCGTGTGCTGCACTTTAAAGGCAGTGCAATAATACTACAAGTTACAAATGAATGTTATAGAGATACATGCATTTACATGTTCAGCAACAGATTTCTTGAAATTAAGAAACACATACTTTACTTTCATTTATCTTTAAAGAAATGCTTTACTAACAATGCTGCTTGTGAAATAAGATTCAATGCAATTATTTGAAAAGAATTCTCACTGCAAACAATTGTAGTGTGGTTTTTATGTTTCTCTTTTGTGGACAAATGGTATCTCTTAATACTAAATAATTAATGATTTGAAAAATAAAATGTCGAGCTGTCTTTTAATAACAGTTTCTCAAGTCAAACAAAAATCGCACAAAACATGTATGAATAAAAACTACTAGAAAAATAGTTTTTTTAGAAGCATACCATACAATGTTGATTGTACGTTATACGAAAAATACAAAAAGTGTCATTACTTAGTATGTCTCTTTATTTTTCAGGTTCTACCATTGTTGACAGAAGATATGCTTTCATAGCAAGCCTATTACTTGCAAAGTATTTCCTCTTTTTCCGTTAGATCTACGCAAATAGTCAGCCCGACAAAACTGCACCGGAGAAAATTACATTGTTGTCTTTTATTCAATTCAATAAATTTAAAAAGGACTTAATGATGTCATTTTATCATGGTACACAAAGTAAAATGGCGATAACCGTTTTTTCCATCATTTTATTCAGGATAGATATACATTTTTCATTTTTGTTTTACATATCGAATTTGTTCTTGAACTAAAACCATCATGGACGGTATAGTACCAACAACGATATATTTCGTAAATATATATATGTAAATATTAACAAAATATATAAAATATGACAAATCATTTTATTAGTTGGACGCATGGTTCTCGTCAGATATGAGCAATCAGCTCAGGCTGAGAACGACTCAAATTGTTCATCATACTTGGACTACTATGCCCCGTCCAAGAATGAATAAGGTAATTTGATTTATACATGCATTTTTAAATCGATTTGTTTGTTTCAAATGATTTTTGTTGTGGAAGACAGCTGAGATCGTAATCAATAATAATATCAATCGTATTTGTTTTCAATTCAGGTTATTTTAACTTATTTTAAATCTGTTAGTCTGTGTATTGCTACCTACGTTGTATTTGTATAAAGTAAAACACGAGAGATAATAAGTATTCAAAACATCAGCCGGCATTTGTACTAGATTATTAGTTTGAAAAGACATCATGGCAAGGGAGATAACTCGACATTAATTTTATTACAGACGTTGATATAAACTCTCCTTATTAACAACGGAGGCGTATCGTCATTTGCTTTTTGAAGGCCTTAACTATTAGTTAGATAAGATGTCTTCAATAAAATGCATCAGTTTGGATATATATCAAACTTTGATATAGTAGTCTGGACGTTTTATTTAACGTTTGATAATTTTGACCTGTAATTTGATATAATAGTACAGGGCGAAAAAATAAACGGATATACATATCCATTTTTTGCCAGCATATGTAAACGATTTAATATATTTTTGTGTATTGTACAAAAAAAAAAATGTAACTAATTCGATCATAATTAAAATAAATCTGAAATCTAAAACAAAATGACTTAATTGTTTCATCCGCATGTATTTATAGCAATGACTGTTTCAAATGTATATATGATTGTTCGATTAAACTATGCTGATGTAAAATATACATGAGTTTATCGTATGTTTCGGCTGGTGAAATGGGTATTTTTAAATAAAATATGCTTAAGTTGACCTAAGATCTGTAGTTGCACATCATGCATACATTGTAGGTGAACTTTCCTGGATGACAATTGTTTACAAAGCTGGATGATGAACGTAACACACAAAACGTGATGCAATTTTAAAATTTGATTATAGACACAGAATGCCAAAATAAAATGCACTGCATCATACAGCTGTTTCGTCCTTCTAGGTCTCTTTGGTGATGATCAAAATTGTTAATAATAATGTAGAAAGAATGGGAAAAACCATGAATTTATTAATTTTACAATTAAGAGGAGTACTGTTTCAAATTCAAAGTCTAATACTTAGAAAAGTGTATATATCATGAACCCTGCTACTTTTCCAAAAAGATAAATGTTTCAATCAAGGTTACGGCAAACATCAGGGACTAAAATGTTAAGCCTTGGTAAACTTTTGGATGACCATTTTTTATATATAACGTTATCGTTCCCTGTCTTGCAATGCCTCTATGAAACAATCAATTATACTTCGATTTGCCTCTTAGCCACCCATCAAGCGGTATTATTTAGAACAATATAAAAGTCATTTTATGTTATACAAACAATATTTCATAATCAAGTTGCGGATTTTTTTTTTCCAGTACTGGAAAATGGGCAATTTATACTAGACACCCAAACAAATTCTCAACAAATATATATGAGGCCTGCTTGATTGATTGATTTGAAAGGGTTTTTCATATGTCCTTTTGTCGACTGCGTCCACTAAAAAACATATAAAGACAGAAGAAAATAAATATAATTTGTTAATGATTGAAGAAAATGAAAAATAATGATTGAAGTCATTGTACAGTTTGTGAAGCTATGTTTTTTTACGGTATTGGACAAAACACCTTGTCTTCCATGTCTACAGTGGTTATTTTATTCAATGTTTTGAACAAACTTAACAGTAATTTTATGAAAAATGATAAAATGCATCACACCACCAAGCTGCAAGAACAAAAAAACAACAAGCTTATACCGAAATATTAACATATTATGAATAAAGGAAAGAGTTACATAGAGATAATTGAAACAATAGAAAAAATATATAACCAAATGTTCAAAAACGTAAATGTCGTTTGCTTCAACAATGACACCCGCCATGTGACTCTATGTCACATGCAATTATAACAACTAGGGTAGTGTCATAAATAGATCATCAAGATTCATTTATCACAAGGAATAGCAAATACTACAACATGTCATAATTGCGACC